TCTCACTAGCTAGGTCCTAGATAGTTCATTTGTCTCTGCCTGGGTTTTCCCGTCTGGGAAACAGGGCTGGCTGAGAGGAAAGGTCCAGCCAGGAGGCACCACTGTCCAGTTGAACAGCCTGTGCTCGCTGCTGCCTTCCGTAGGGACACCCCAAGCCCCTAAGCCTCCTCCTGGGTTGCTAATGACAGGCCCCTGGAGTGGGAGACTCAGAGGGGTGTCAGTGCACCATAGGCCTCCCCCTCCATGAGGATGTGGCAAGGCCACTGTGCCTTACATGAACCCATGGCTGGCAGCAGACAGCTGGTCTGAAGCTGGCCAGGGAGGCAGGACCGGAAGGGAGGTAGCCGTGGAAAGGCTGGTGGAGCCCTCTTCGTCCCATCCCCTGACCCTATCTCCTTCCACATGGCTGAGGCTGGGGGCACTGAAGCAAAGACCTGCAGTGGGGAGGAAAAGACACAGTCGCAAGTCCTTCCTTCCTTCACTTGGCAAACATCTCTGGAGCCCAGGCTCTGCGGAGTGGACACGGGTGAGCCACAGGCCCAAGCTCTGCCCTCCGGGAGCTCGGGTCTGAGTACACAGGAAGGTAACCAGGTGAGGGGTCTGTGCGGGAAAAGGGGAACAGTCCCTCTACCTGTACATAGGTCTGGCAGGACCTGAGAACAGTGTGAATAACAAGGTAAAGATCGGGGGCGAAGAAGAGTGTTCGAGGAAGAGGGAGCAGCGCGTGCTGCCCGTCTGGGGGTGAGGCAGAAAGCAGTCTGCCGCGGGGGAAGTCCAGCCCTGGGAAACAGCCATCTCCAGGCGGGGGTGCGGGAGCTCGGGGGATGTACCCTCCGGCCGGCGTGTCAGGAGAGGCCGCTGGCAGCGTCCAACGTGGGCCGTCGGTCGCCGGAACAGGCGCCTCAGTGACTCGGGAGAGTGTTGGGGGACTGCAGGCGAGGGCGGGCATTGGCGGTGAAATACGAGGGTGGGGACTGGTGGTACTGACTGCGAGGGACCGGCCTTCCGACACCCCAGCCACCCTGACCCGCAGCTGAAACCCGGGGGTGCGCGTGAGCGAGCCTACGCTGGCCGGGAGCGCGCGCGTGACGCCATCAGCACGAGCCGCCCCGACTTCCGGGCGCGAGTGTCCCCGTCCCGGGCCGCCGCGGTTCCTGATCGCGCGCGGGCGGCCTGGCCACCGCCTGCCCTGCTCTCACCGCGTGTCCCCAAGGCCGGGAAAATCTGGTTCCTTCTTCACAAATGGACCCAGGAAGCCCCCCTGGGTGCCTTCTGCGCCCACGGGCCCCCGTCCCTCTAACGGCGAGTGCTGAGAGAGGCCCTGATGGTCTGCGGCCTTTAGCAGCCTGCCTGGGGGCGCAAACGAACGACCATGAGGGTGGACCCTTCTTCACTCGGCCCTGGCAAGCACAGCCTCTTTCCCGTGACCTGGTCGGGATAAGCCTCCTGGTCACAATCGCGGGCAGTTTATTTACCCTGCCCCCATCACAGCCATTGGGGGCAGGCTCCTGGACACCGAGAGCAGGCCGTTCCTCGTCAGGCCATCGGGCGGCGCGGGCGCTGCGGGGCTTCGGTCACCCTGTGTAGGGCACCCAGGGGCAGATAAACAGGCTGGCCAGGGAGCTTCAGCCGCACCGACCCGGTCAGCGTGGTAAAAGTGCCCAAGGCCCCAGCGTCTTCAGTGCTTTTCAGCCAGGGGCGGGGCGGCAGGCCACTGTAGGCATCTGAGCACTGCTTAGAGCAGAGGGGGTGGGATGCTTTATCCCTTGAGGTCACGTCAGGAGATGACACCCCTGTGGCCAAGCCTCCCAGGTCAGGCCTAGTCAGTGGAGGATTACGTGGGGAGGTGGGCATGGCCTGCCAGGAGACAAAGGTGACAACAGTTGGGGCTTGGTCAGGGTTTGACCCAAAATGAGTGGGGGTGGGGTTTGGAGAAGGGGAGTTTGCCCCAGGGATATTTGCCAGGTGGGTGTGGGCAGAGGGGAGAAACAAGACCACACCAGGGGCCACCTTTTTTCCATGGGTCACCCACATCGTTGGCCTAGGTCAAGTTCACCCACAATCCTGAGTGTTGTCTGTGGCCCTCCAGTTGTCCTTTCAGGCCAGTTCTTTACTGTGCATGCATCTAAGTCCTTGTCCCTAGGGTGTCGAGTCCCTGTTCCCAGATCTTGATGTGGCAGGAGCTCCCCTAGACCCCCTGATTCTGTGCCCCTTACCAAAGACCCTTGCCCAGGGAATCTGAAAACTTGCAGGAAGTAAAAAGAAAGGAAATAACTCTGGCACCCTCAACTGAGATTGTGTTTGCTATAAAGGCTAAGGGCACAACCCGAAAAACAGAATTGTCTTTGTTGGCTAAAAGGACACAGACCCATTTGTCAGGAGTGACTGTTTTTTTGTGTGTGTACTAAGCTCTAACTGCCATTCATCACCTACACAAGGACATGGAAAAATCCAGGGGACGCCTGTGCAGTAGTGGCAGGGGCAGGGGGTGGGTTCAAGGAAGCAGGGGAGCTGGAGGACAGCTGCCTGAGGCCTCTGCCTAAGGGGGTAGGACACCATTCTTCAGCCCCACAGCAGTGATGACAGGGCCGGAGGTTGGCCAAGCCCTGCCCCAGGAGTAGCCACCACCTCACCCTCTGCTCCCTTGCCCTGTCTCTGAGGCCATTGTCCCTCCTGGCTACATTACGTTAGGATTCCAGGTCAAGGCCATGCTAGATGGTGAAGGCTGCCTGAGGCTGAGCGGAGGCTGGCTGTGGCTTCCAGTCCAGCACAGAGGTTCTGGCTGTGGGTGGGACATGGTGACCTGGAGTCTCCACCCTCCTCAGCTCACATCTCTCCTCTGATAAGCAGATCCAGCCACCTCCTGGGGTTCCCCCCACCCCACCCGCTACCCCACCACTGGTCTGTGTCCAGGTAGGGGACCAGGCTGGAAGTTGTGTCTGTTCTACCTCCCATTTCCTTGAAGATCTGCACACATCTCTGCCCCTATGCCCCCACTGCCACAAGGACAAGGGTCCCCTGCCATTGTCCTCCTCTCTGCAGCCTTTGGGGTCTTAGTTAAACGCAGCTGGGCTCCCTCCCTCCAGGTCCCTGCCTGCTCACTTCCCTCAGCTTGGACATCACAAGCTCTTTCCTGCATACAGGATACCTTGCCCCTCCTGCTCCCCTTCCCTCAGGTCTCAGCTCCAAGAACTGAGGCCGCCTACTAATTCAGGTAATGTGTGAAGGGGGTGGAGTTGCCTCCACCAGAGTGTGTGGCTCTTCTGTAACCACAGCCCCAGGAAACTCAACCCAGCTGTCTTTTCTGGCTGGGCTACCACGTCGTGCTGGGAGACACAGGAGAGGGGACCTGGACTATGGTAGGGCTCCTGATCCTCCTGAAGAGAGAGGAATGGGGGCTAGGTTGCTCCTGGGTGGGGGTCCCCATGCCCTACTCTCAGACCAGTGCAGTCTCAGCCCCATCCTCCCAGTGAAGGGTGAAGGGGACAGGATTCTGGGATGCTAGTGTGTAGTCAGTGAATGGTTACCATTCCTGGAGGTCAGTACTGGGAGCATTGAGTCCCCTCAGGGCTCAGCTGCTGGGCTTTGCCTGCTCTGGGAACTACCTGGAACTCTGGCCGACTATAAATAACCTTCCACAACCCAAAGAAAAAAGCTACACATGCAAGGGCTTACTGTGTTAGGCATTGTTCTAAGCACTTTATACGGATGGACTGGGTTTTTCTGTCACCCCATTTCACAGATTAGGAAATTGAAGTTAGGTGACTTGCCCAAGGTCACACAGTGAACAAATGAGAAGCCAGGGCTCTTTCTGTTCCCCACCACAGCCCAGAGATGCTGTCTGCTGTGTGCTCCCCTAGCCTCAGTGGCCTATGCCATGGGCCAGCACTGCCTATCACCACGGCAAAGCTCCTGAGGCCCAGAAAGGAGCCAGTGGCCTGTGTCTGGGTCTGCATGCCCCAGTATGTGTGTGTGGGAGACAGCCCCTGGCCCCTGTGGGCAGGCAAACTTTGCTCTAGGGCCCTTTCTCCTCAGTTGCGGCTAGGACTGGTTACCTCCCAAGAGCACTGAGTATGCACTGCCCAGTCCTATAAAACCATTTTCCTTGTACCCCTAAGCCCACAATTGTCCCTCGGATCTGTCCCAGATCCCTAGACCAGGGATCTGGATGTTGTGGGAGCTTGCAGGGGTAGGGCACTCTCCCCTAAAAGGAGCAGCTCTAGGGACCAGACCTGCTTGGTTGGAGGCTTCTGTTGGCAAGTTATTTCCCAATCTGAACCAAAGCCTTGAATGACTCTTACCCATGGATCACTTGGACAGCAAAGTGCCTTCTGCCCCTGCACAGCCAGGGGCCCCGGTTTATCCCATCCTGCTCTCGGGGCTCTTCCACTTTGGCCCTGGGTTGTGGTTCCCAGCTCCGGATCTGGGGGGAAGGAGGGGCCCTGGGGTCCTGGTCAGGCAGTTCTACCCCATCCTGCCCCAGGGCAGCTGTCTCTCGACCAGGGTAAAGGAGTGAGCAAAGGTCCCCTGCTCAGAGCCTCAGAAATTAGATGCCCCAAAGCACTTCCCCACAAGCAGACCACAGAGAAACTGTGAGGGAGTAGTAGAAGGTGAGCTAGGCCACAGGCTGAGGGGCAGTTGAGGGTCCCGAAGCACTGTCTCCCAGGCCCAACCCCTGGGGTGGGGCAGTTCTCCACTCTGCCCACTCAGTGCTGCCTGCCAGGTGATCCTGAGGGCATGTCCACTAGCTGACCCTGCAGAACCTTGCTCACAGGCCACAAGCATGGCCTGGACAGAGTCCAAATGTTCCTCGGCATGATGGTGCCAGGCCTCTTGGGGTGTGATGCTGTGGCCACAGCTGGCTCACCCACTAGCCTGCCTGCCGCCCTGCTTCCCTGTTCCCCTGCCAGTGTTCTCTGGTGAGGGGGTGGACCTGCTCTTTACAGAGGCATGGACAATCATTATCCACCCACAGATGGGCCCACACAGGGACAGGAGGCTGCGACAGGATCCGGTTTATTCTGCCATGGGAGGGTGGTCGTGAGAGTGGCAGGTGCCACCCTGTCCCGGGCGGAGGGAGGGCCCAAGGGCCAGTTAAGGCCAGTGGCGGGAGAAGCAGGGGGCATGTAGCCCCTGGAATGCGGTGAGGCCAGGCTGAGGCCCAGAGGCAGCTGTGGTAGGCCGGGGCAGGTGCCCCTGCTGCCCAGGGTGGAAGGCACCGGGCTGGGACCGGGCCATGGCTACAGGGCCGTGGACCCAAGCCACATGGGCACCCCGGGAAGTGGGGCACAAGGTCACATGACACGGAACATGAAACACAGGCACACGGCTCATGAGTAAGCACATGGACAAGTGGGCACAGATTCACAGGCCAGAGGGACACCCAGCCTTGGCCAGACACATGGACACAATGGTGGTGTCCTAACACACCACGGGACACCCGGCACTAAGGGACATGTGGACTCAATGGCTGCAGGGGACAGACCCAGGCCATGGAGTGCAAGGAACAGGGAAAAGGGGCCTTTTGGCACGACTGCACTAGAATCGTGAGAAGAGGGCAGTGGGGACTGGTCTGGAGGCACCTCGGCCAACCCCCATGCAGACCCCCTCGGGGACTCAGTCTGTCTTCCACACTTTGTTGAGTAGCTTCACCACTTCATCGTAGATGACAAACACGATGGCCACGTCCAGGCAGACCCGGCCCAGGCGGGGGATGGTGCCCTTGTAGAATCTGGGGTTGTGGGCAGGGAGAGGTAGGAGGTGAGAAGGCAGATGAAGAACAGTGTCCCTGTACAGTGAGGGTGGGTCCAGACATCAGAGGGACAAGGGCAAGAACCTAAAGGTAAGGACTCCCTGAGGGATAGTCGGGCTGGCAGCGGGTGGGGACCACAGCCCTGCCCCTCCCCTACTCACGCCTTGAGCCCCTCATTCCTCAGGATCTGCAAGCCACAGTCCCATGTATTCCGGTATTTGTGCGCCTCCAAGCCCTGCAGGACAGCAGTGTGCCACAGGGTTCAGCGGCTAGCCCCTGTCACAAACTCCCTACCCCCTTCCTGGCCCCACCCCCACCTGCATCCGGGTCTTGATCACGTCCAGAGGAGTGTTCCCGAAGACACTGGCTGCGCCAGCGACAGCTCCAAACACTCCGGTGATCAGTGGGTTCATGGGCTTGTTGGGGTTGTCCCCTGGATGTGGGTGGGAGATGCAATCAGAAAGTGATGGGAAGGCAAAGGGGAGGGCTCTTCAGGGCTGGGGAGGAGCATGGAAAAGAGCCTATCAATGTGAGGACCCCAGGAGGCCAGGTCCTGGCAGGGAAGACTGAAGAGGAGGAGCCTAACCCAGAGTGGTTGGAAGTGGGGTCTTGGGGGTGCAGACCCAACAGATACATACCCCTGTACCAGTTTCGCAGGGAGGTCATGACGAAGAAGCGGATGGCCTGGTTAGATCCCTGCTTCAGCACGGTGGCTGTGAGGCCCTGGTAGGTTCCCTTCAGCCCTAGGGGCAGACAGGCATGGGAGTCATACTGGTGCCTCCCAGGCCCCAGCTGGGACTGGGGAGTGGGGAGTGGGGAGAGTGGCACACCAGAGCACCAAAGCAGGAAGGGGAAGTTCAGGCCAGCCTGGCCAAGGTCCCTGGCCCTACCTGAGGAGGAAGCCATTATGGCTCACCTTGTTCTCGCACAATCTCCCTGACCCCGTGGAAGAATCCTCTGTACTTGGGGTTGGGGGAGGTCTGGTCGTGGATGAACTTCACCTGTGAGAGGAAAGCAAAGGCCCTAGCTCCCAGGATGCCCCTGGAAGGGCATACTTGGCCCTTTGGCTTGCAGGCCCAGGGCCCACAAAGATCTGATCAGGGTTGGAGGTGCAGCTCTTCACCTGGAAACAGGGCCTCCCAGGTCACCGCAGGACACAAAGACCCCAGCAAACAAGAGGGCTGGCCTTACTAAAGAGTCTCTGCAGTTATGTTTGCTGGTATTTCCTACAGCTTAGGCAGAAAACATGTTATCTTATGTTTTCTGTTTATAAAAGTGTTTTTTTAAAAAACCCCAATGTCAGTTGTCCCACTGCCTTTGGGACAGAGTCCAGTCTCCAGAGGAGGCCCTTCCTGCACACCTCCTGCACCCAGCTCCCCAGGCAGTTTCCCCTGCGCACCTTGCCCTGCTCCTGCAGGACCTTCTCTACCTTGCTGGTCTCCTAGGATGACCCCAGCCACCCTAGCGCCCCTCCGCACACCTTCTCCCTATTGGGACCCTCCCCACCTTGATGGTCTCCATGGGGCACACGACCACTATGGCTTCCGCCACACCAGCACCCAGGCCGCACAGCAGTCCCCGGGTGCTGTCCAGGCGTCCCTGGGGATCTCGCATGTGGTTGCTGAGGAACTCAAACATCCCGAACCTGGGAACAGGAGGCAGTGGGGTGAGAGGGGTTACAGCCGCCCGGCCCGGATGCCCTCCCTCGACCACCCTAGCCCACCTCACCTGACGGCCGCTTTGGGGATGGAGCCGTAGAGCAGGGAGCTGAGGCCTCGGTACAGGCCCAGGACGCCATGGCTGCGGACCGTCTGCCGCACACAGTCCCCTGGAGGAGGGGGTGTTCAGCGACCCCAGCCGCCCTAGAGACCCGCCCCCCGCAGTTCCCCGCAGCCCGCCAAGGCTGCTCCCCGAGCGCAGGGCCCGGCCCTCTCGGTGGCGCACCGCCCCTACCCCTTCGCCCCCCGTCCCCCCGGCAGCCCCCTACTCACCAATACCCCGGTACCGCGGAGGGTGCGAGCGCTCGTCCAGCTGCAACTGTGTCTTCACGTATTCGGTGGGGAAGGTGATGCAAATTTCAATGCCGCCCGCCAGGCCGCCTGAGGAGACCAGGGACCCGGACCCTGAGACCACAGCCCCGCGGCCGAGCCGTCCAGCCCGCCGCTGCTGGCGCCCCGGCCCCTCCCCCGCCCCGGACTTTGTCCCGCGCCTGTGGTGTAGGGGAGGCCCGGCAGCGTCCCCTGCCCCACCCACGTTGTCCTGGCTAGGCGCGGAGGAGCGACGAGCCGGGCGATCCCCCACGCGCTGGCTGGGGACCCGGGCCGAGCCCCACCCCTCGCCCGACCCGGAAGTGGGGCGGGGCCTCGGCGTCCCGGGCCCACCCGGAAGCACCGTGGGGCCAACGGAGGGGGCAAATCTGGGGTCCGTGCCCCGGAGGGGCCCACCTGCCAGGATCGCCTTCCCCGGGTGCGTCAGCTTGGCCTTTCCGGACGCGGGTGCGGCGGCCGCCAGAGCGCGGGGCTTGGCCATGGCAGGCGGGGAGGCGGGGAGACTGGGCGCCCGGCGTCGGCCTCGGGTCCAAGCCCCCTGCTCTCCGCGCTCGGCCCGCGGCGGC